ATTCATCTTTACAAAACTAACACTGAAACTTAAGAGCTTGTCCCGTCCATGTTTATTATTTATTTAAAAACATAGGCTTTGGAAGTACAATTATTTTGGGAAAATGTTAGTGTGATTTTCCAGAAATAACATGTAAACATTTCATGACTAGGTTAAGTACTTTGGGCTAGACCAGCTTCTTAGACTCTTTCGTTCAAACCAGCTACGCTACGCTAGGCCTATAAACGCCTGGAGCTGAATTTAGAGAAGGGGCGAATTTCACCATGGCGAAAACAAATGGCTTGTACGGGGCTGCGCTGCCTCCGCCTGCAGACGCCCCACAGTAGGCCGTGAGCGAGCGAAAGCGAAAGTACTTCGCTTTAGCGTAACGTAAACATACGGTCACAACGAAACTATTTAACCCGAAACCATAAGTCGTTCGACAAGTGATATTGAAGTGCATTGCGCTGGATTTTCCGATAAACAATGTCATTATATGTGGTACCCGTCACATTTCTAGCCTGCATCCCAAAATTCGTCTAAACCCAACCTCTTCGACATTACCCACAGGCACGTGAAAGTCCTTATAGAGTAATGTTTTATGCTCCTAAACAATTTTAGAGTGTCAATTTTGAACGTTTTTAAATAAGAAGCTATTTCTTTGTAGTGAAAACATAACCTATGATGCGATGCTTTCGAATTTATCGGGTTATAGGCCTATTCTTTGAGTCAGGTAATAAAGGTTAGGTTATCGTACTTCTTAGCTACTGCTTTTATTTTTTCATATCATAATAGCTCTTTTGTACTGTTTTCAGTTCATCAAATGTGAAAGTTAAAATACCGATACTGAGTACCTCCTTATATTTCATTTGAGGAATGGAATATTTTCCACTTGTTGGGGTTAGTTTTACCAGGAGTTGCCCCAAAACCTGAGAGAGTGCATAATTTACCAGTTACTGTCAGTACAAGTAAGTAAAATAGATAATGTCAGCTGAGACACAGCACTACTTTTTCTCTGATATAATGAAACGGTTTCATTTTTTTTCTGTACAGCTTTGAGCGTAATTGCTGGAAGTTATAAATATTACAAATTTCGGGGTCGAGTCCACTTCTGACTCTACAACTTCAGTAAGGATATTGAAGGCTGGATAAGAGATTGTTACTACATCAGTAATTTAAATCCATTTTATTTTAAATTTAGTCTTGTCTCATGATTTAACATTGTTTCGGCACCACCAATCCAAGGATATGGCTCAACTTTCATGGAATCGTGGAAGGGAAACCAGCTGTTGTCTGATGCACGGTAATTCTTACATGTCATGAGGTTGGCTTCATCCCTCTTTACCTTCTGATGATGCATTCTGCAACAAAGTAAAGTAAAAAGTTATGAGGAGGGTTGCAGAACCACAAGCATTGCAATCAAAGTTTGTACAACTTATATTTTTAAAGAAATAGTTGCCTAATGATAAGGCTTAAGTTCCACCTAATACAGTATCTTTTGTTGCAATTGATTTTAATTTAGGTTAAAAGATTACTATGTTGGCAAAAGTTATGTGCTCTACTTCAAATATATTACAAAGAATACTGTTGCAATGCTGTTATTTATTATTTCAGTACCATAGTTGAAGGGATGGACTACAACTTTCACGGCATCATGGAATAGAGAGTTGCGATTGAATGTTGGCTTCATCATCTCCTATCCTGCAACTAGTTTAGATAAGGAAGTAATTGGTGCGGATACAACATGCTTCTCTCATGTTTCGAGAAAATGACCAAAGCAGAGCTGAAGACATCAGCATCAGAACAGATATTTACTCTATTTCAAAATTTTGCTGCTAGAGAAGGAAGGCAAGTTGTGATTCTTTGCACTACATTAAAAATATCTTTAGTGGAAAGTCTACTAAAGTGATTTAAATAAATAATCCAATTTATTTTGAATACAACAACAATGTTTTATTAACAATTCCTTTACACTTTCAGCTCAGTTTTCAAGTTTGAATGAATTTTCAAACTATTATTTGCTGCTTGCCAATTTGTAGGTGAAATTTGTGCTAAGGCAGCATTTTCCCTCTCCCCAATAAGATGATAAGGATCTCTAAACTGGTAAGTACAGGTATAAAATCATAATTATATGTAACATATTTGAAGTATAGACAAATTTAAGTTATTAAGTTTTATTTTCTTTCTTGCAGGACTTCTCTCCATAAGCGCCATACTGTTGTTCTGTTTGATAGCCTTCGCTTGCTCTGTCGAATGAAATACTTTTTTGTACAGAATTCATCTGTCAGAAAACCACCAGATCACAGAATCTTGAGCCAAGAGTTGTGGATCTGAGGAATGTTCCTCAGGTCCTGCAGAAAAAAGTAAAAGATCAGCATGACAGGCGTGCCAGGCGTAAGCCTGTGGAGTTTACTGTCGGTCAGCCAATTGTATATTGAAGAGGCCGTAACTGGTACAAAGGGACTGTAGTGGAAAAGCTAGCGGCTCCTAGGTCTTATCTAATTCGGCAGTTAAATGGCCGTATTCTCAGACGGAATACCTGGCATTTACATAAGTCCAATACAAAACCTGATAGGTTTGATCAGCCACATTTAGGGGCACATCGAATTAATACTCCTGGTCCTGTGTTACAGAGAACCCGGCAGCAACACCCATTGACACAAGCCAACCAGGCCCCTCAGGAAGTGGAGGTGGAGCTGGAACCACTGGAGCCCATGGAACTGGTGGATGGGCAGGATGCTGAGTTTGAGCACCTTCCCCCACATCCTCAGCGTGGTCGTCGACGACGAGTTGAGGCTGGTGATGGTTAGCGGCGTCCACCATGTAACGTTCCTGGCCGCCCGGTCAGGACGTTCACGAGACGTGGGAGGCCTGTCCGGCTCCCCGCCAGATATCTGGATTGAGTTATTATTGTTTAATATCAAATTTGGTGATGGCTACCTGGCGTTGCCAGTGTAATAATGTACTTGGGTACTCACGTATATTCGTTGTTTAATAAACATTTGAGGCGTGACCGCAAACATCAATATTATTATCCCTTCTTAACCTTCACATTCAAAACATGGGAGTTTGAAGTAAAGGGACTGGAGGGGGAGGTGTTCTAGTTGGCAAGGCGGTGACGGCCACCTGCAAATACAGCACAGCCTATTGGCAGTGCCACCCCCCACCACTCAACATCCTCTGCTATAAATATGACATGAAAACAATAAAGCTCTCGCACTACTCCTCACCAACTAGTGTACTTCATTTCACCCTACCTCCGAACAGAACACGCTATGCTTTAACAGGTATTCCGTTTTCTTCTTCTCCGCAGTCTTTTGCATTTCAGCTTTACCGGAATGCATTTTTGGTCCATGCATTACAGGGCCCGTCGAAAGAGGAGGCACTGACTGGCTTTGACACGGTCATAAAGTACCGGACCACCAAATCAGACCAACAAAGTCAGTATTTACTTGGACAGTTCAAAAAAATCTCCACCCCCTTGAAAAATAACTAGCTATGTGTACGCCAGACCACGTCTCGCGTAACAGGCTTCGCGATATCTCACGAAACACTGTTACGCTGCGACGCGCCTGGCGCACATATAGCTAGGTCTGCGGCGCTGACACCCGAGACGAGTACAGGAGAGGGTATAGGGGAACAGGGTCTTCCGGGCCCAAAATTTGACATACTCGAACCATTAGTCGGGGTCTTATGACTCTAAAATTAGGGACATGAAACTTCTGCTGTTCAATAACGGTTTTCATTAAAAGTTCGAATTTTGAGAGATTGTTATGTAAAAATCAACGTTTTACTGATACTAGATAATCTAGGGACCCTTAAGCCCAAAAGAGGGTGTGGTTCGACCCGTAATGTGTGGTTTAAGTATTACTCCCTTTACAATAAGACATTCCGGTAAAGCTGAATTGCAGAAGAATGCGGGCAAGAAGGAAACGGAAATCGCTATGCTTTAACATGGTTACTTCCGTTCTCTTCTTCTCCTCAGTCTTCTGCATTTCAGCTTTACCGGAATGCTTTATTCTGTGACATTAGGAAGCCTTTTTCACGATTTAATAGACCATTTTATCTATTTCACGTTGTTTTCGCCAAGCAATGACCCATAGTGCCGGAACGGTACAAGATAGAGCAAAACGGACGAAAGTTTTTTCCATAGCCCTATACTTTGACGATTTACATCTTAGGGGCCCATAAAAAAATATTTGGAAAAAAAATATTTTGCAACCTGTGGTTTTTGATTTTTTGAAAAGACAATTTTTGAGCTAGGATGCTCATCTTCGAACTAGATCTGTCTTTTAATGGTACAAAACGACCCTGAAATTCCCAGATCGCTCTCTCAATTCTTTCTCGAGTTATCGTGCGGACAGACAGACACACAAACACACCCCAGTGAGAAATCAGTGGTCGAATCGACCTCGAATCGACGTCGATTAGGCAGGTCGAAAAATTGTCGATTCCAAATGTCGAATCGACGGGATTTTGTCCCGCAAATCGACGTTTTTTCGACATCGACTATTTCGTGCTTTATCGAAAAGGGACTACAGGGACGGATTTCAACGGTTGAGCTAAGTCCAATAGCGACTGTTGGTGTCCGTAGGCACCTGCGTCGCCATCACTTTCAAAAATTGCTGCAGGAGATAAAGTCCGTGACGGACACCTCCAGCGCTACAACGATCACGTCTCCAGACTATAGTTGTTTTGGCGTTGCGGGTCACCAGCGAGAGGTAAGTGTACAGTCAGGGGAAGACCCTGTCTCGAATCGACGTCGAATCGACATCGATCATGTACAACACGAAATTTCTTGCAATTTAGTACCAGGAACCGTTCTGTAACACTTTAAGGCCCATTAGCTGAGTTAAGCCGCGTCATAGGGCACTTCTCGAGTAACATCGAAATTTCGTCGACAACTTCGTTTCAGGACCAACGATAACTTCTCGAGCAGTCGACGTCGATTCGAGGTCGATTCGAACACTCATTTCTCACTGGGCACAAGAATGAAACTTTTCGGGTCAGTGGAGTAATGGGCTTCGCTAATCGCTCAGCCAATCAAAAACAACGGGTCCCAAAAATGACGTTTTTTGAAAATATTTTTTTTTATGGTTTCCTAGGAGGTAACTCATCAAAATAGAGCCCTGGGCCAAAAAAAAAAAAATCCGTTTCTTATAGCTCAAACCGTTGAGGCGCTAGAGGGTATTTTTGACGAAAATAAGCGAAAAAATGGACAACCCTGCATGCTTAGTCAAAGTGACGGGCCGTTGACGGGCCGTA